AATTAACTATTTGATCACAATCAGGGGAGATGGAACGCGACTCCAGGCGAGATGAGGATCTTTACCTGAGTGCCAAAGTTTTGCAGCTGGCGTGCAGCAGCCAGTCCTGAAGCCCCGGCACCAATGATGATAACATTTTTCTGCATAAAATCATAAAATGTACAAGGTGCTAAAAGACATAAGAAAATAAGTACTAGCAAAAACAATAAAAACTTCACATGACAGTACAGATGTGTAATAATCTTGTGTAGATGAGGACGCTCACAGAGCAGTATGTTTCTGGGAGCAGAGGCTGTTTTGCTGCCAGCACACCGGTGTTGATGAGACCCTTCCTGGTCATGAAATGGAGCACTCGGTCCAACTCCTGCACGCAGCGCACACGCACCAACCCACGAACAATGATGTGCTGGGCACATTTCTCTGAAGTCAGCACCTCCTTCAAAAACAGGAAGGAAAACAGGAAGAAAATCTAATTGTTTTATTTGTTTGTTGTGCGCATGCACAACAAACAAATAAAACGCGCATGCGCATTATATATTGCCTAGTTTAAACATATTAAACTGGTTGAGTTTTATTATTTGTACAAAGACAAATCCCATGACACCTCTGAATTTAAAATATTTTTCTACACTAAAATAAAATTTAATTAAAAAAAACATTGGTGATTCTGAGTGATCTTTTTCACCCTTATTTGAGATTTTAAATGACCCCAGTGGTCACTTTTGGCTTTGTTGTACCTTACAGTTCTTGTGCCAGGAGGCCAGGATAAGGTTACGCAGAGCCAGATACATGGTGGGATCGCGGGAAAACTCTGGAAACTCATAAAGCTCATCTAGCTCCATCATATCAGGCCGCACACACAGAGCCTTTCCGCACTCATTTGGCTGGTAGAAGGGCTGGAAGTATGGACACAAGCCTGGAACTGAGGGACATAATAATGATCAGGATCTCCAATGGGGACACAAAACAGTAATTATGTGTAAAAAAAAAAATAGCATAGTGAATAGTAGGTGCTTAAATATGGCATTTCTTCTGAACTCAGACTTACTTTGAGGCTGAGCAGCTCTGCAGTGATCCGCCCTCAGCTCGCCCAGAGACATGTTGCTAGAAGAACCTGATGGACTCATCCCCACACAGTCGGGGTAGTACGCAGTGAGGAAAGGGCTGGCTGGGCTGTCTTTAAACAGTGGCGGCAAAATGAGCATTGAATGCCACCAACTGTCCGTCACCTCTGCCACTCTCTTCAGGAATAAAACAGCTCAGCATTAAACAAATGCAGTAACTTGTAAAGTTTACACACTGTCCTCAAACAGATTCTAGCAAACACAACTAGCTTACCAAGTCCTCTGGTTGGGAGCACTGGTCGGGTTCCTCGCTCTGTAGGCAAATGAGCAAGATTTTTATCAGAAAAATAGATTTTTGTCTTGATGGGGATCGATGATTATATCTTTCCCTCTTTACCTTAATGTTGTTGAACTTCATTCCACAGCGGTATGCTGCTGCTAAGGAGGCAGTGAGCTGGATCTCCTTGGTCAGCTGGCGCCACTTCCTGCAGTCGGGTTTGGTGCATTGAGCCTGAAGGAAACGAACATGAGAGTATTTATGACACGTAGCTACATGTGTGAACAGTTAATACATGTATCTAGAACCAGAAAAGCTTCTTATACATACCCAGTATGGCAGCTGCTGATCTGCCATGAAAGCTTTAAGACTGGGCTCACTTTTCCCATTACTAGTCCACACTTTCTTCCACGAAGCAAAGGTCTCAAAGCCGTCTTTGTGACTGAAGTGAAGGAGCAAAAAAACAAGTAACTCACAGCTTCACAGTTTGGTAGTGCAGAAACAATGTAAATAGGTCTGAGGAACATGTGACAAGATTATTTCAAAAGTAATGTCACTGAACCCACGGCTGTTTCAGGTTTGCGTGTATACAGCGATACATGCTTATAATTTAATGACTTAAAGCAAGTGGCAAAAATCAAACAGCACTGATATGGGGAAAGAAAGAAAAAACTCAGATTAAATGTTATACACTGGTTTCCTCCCTTCTAGAAAGAACATTGAAGGGAAAAAAAGATAGAATAATATCAATCCATCCAATTATCCTTTCAGCAGCAGTTTCATTGACGTCTAGATTTCCCTCAACTAGGCCACCTCTTCTAGTTCTTCTGAGGGGACACAAAGGAATTCCCAAACCAGCCATAGGGCATACTTTTTCCAGCATGTCCTAAATTTTTCCTGGTATCTCCTCCCAGTCTGATAAGCGTGAAACAGATCCTAGATGTGCCAATCAGATGCTGAACCACATCATATGGCTCCTTTCAATGTGGAGGGGTTCCTGCTCTAGTCTTGACTTGCTCCTGATTAAACTGCTCACCCTGTCTCTAAGGGAGAGCCCAGATACTCTTCAGAAGACACTCATTTCCATTGCTTGTATCCATATCGGTTTCTTCTCTTTGCTTGCATTAATTAGAGAGAATAGGAATGTAGATCCACTAGTACATTAAGATGTTTATTTTTTTCACTCAGCACTGCAGCCAATCAGTACAACATCTGTAACACTTTACATGATGCATTAATCTGACTGTCAGTGGATTGATGTGAAATTCTGAGCTTTTTAAACCACGTGTCAGTCAGAACAGTTGTTTGGTGAGGGTTCTGCAGTTTCTTTTCTTTTACACCTTTTAAATATGCTTCTTTTTGCAGGGAGCAGTTTGCTGTTATAAATGTTGTCTGTATGTAACTGTAATTTTGTGCCTTCCTGGTATGTTAACATGTATTATTAAATAGATTGCTGCAAACGAGAGAGGGAAGCGTGCCACTAAATTTCTGAGATGATGGAAACCATAAAATATCCATCTTCTCAACTTAATGTAGCAGAAATCACTGTAAACAACTTAGAGGTGTTTTAAGCAGTGCTACAGAAACACTGTTGATATCTTTAGCCTGCATTTGTCTCACCTTCTGTAGTAGTGATCAAAACACTCATTGCAAAAATGCTCCCCACATGACAGATGATACCACCGCGACGTGTACCCATTTTTAGCACATCTGAAAAGAGACAAGAAGTGCTGTTTGAGAACTATAAAAAGTGATATAAGTAACTATCCGATTTACCTGACATCTGATGTTACCTTTCAGATGCGCTTGCAAAACAAACGGGGTACATGGCAGAACACCCGGCCTTCTCACATTTTCTGTACTTCTTCTCAGACTGGTCATCTTCTTCCTCTGTGTCTGTGGCTTTTCTTTTGCTCTGTAATCCAAAGAGAAAAATGAAATATCATGAGACTCACATTCATTCCTATGTCCAATTCACAATCACAATTTAACGTAACATACACTCCAAGACAACCACATGCAGGCCAACATACAAACACTACATGGAAAAGCCGTAGCCTAGCTTCAACCCTAGGATCTTGTTGCTTTGACTGGACAGTTCTAACTAGCCTTGGTTTTTAAAGTAATTTCTTTGAGACAGACTTCAGGAACACATAATATATATAGAAATACATATTCTGACTATGGGCATAAATTGAATTTGAACAATGTGGTGCACATATTATATAGGGGGCTTAGGAATCTCCCTGTAAATTATGGGATTTGGTTAAAGTTAGCAGGAGAAGACTAGAAATAATGAAGGATTCCAAGTACCTTGGTCCTGTCATACTGTATCAAATGAAAGCTCAAAACCTAAGGTTTTGGCAAGGATAACACAGCTGTCATAGCAAGCGTTACGGGAATCTAGAGACAAAAACATCTCTCCGATCCAAAGTCTACCTGCTGTTGTCTTTTGAGTATCAGTAGTGTCTTCTTACGGCAAAACCGTAAGAAGAATCGTAGCATAAATTGAGATGCTACAGGAAGATCTCATGCCCAAAACCTGTGACAGGTATAAAAGGTCTGCATAATTGCTTTGCAACTTGAGATGGTATAGAGAGTGTCTCTGGTTTTTCAGGCCTTGTGAAAATCATACTGCAAGGAGCAGTTAAGTGAATGCAGAGACAAAACAGACAGATTAAGATTATGGGTGGATAAGATCTGTGAACAGGTAGGCATGAACCCGACAGAGACCCAGAGAGTGGTGGCCCAACAACCTCAACAGAGGTCAAGGGGCAAATCCTCATAACTTCATGAGGTGTGTTGGTGGTATGTTGACTAAGACTTCTACGTCTACATCACTGCCAGTCAACTGGCTTTAAAAAGTGCTTTGTTGATGAATTGGTTAAACACTGCCCCCTGAAAAGTAACCTTCTAGTATAATAATAAAAGCAACATTTACCTAAAACTGCACACCTGGAAACATTAAAAACCAAACTGAAACCTTTGTGTGACCCTACTTTGCATGAATGCGAACTGAAACTTAACCGAGATATAGTCATTATATTAACTCATTGTGTACCTTACCTGACCAGGTGGAGGGTTGTTGGTGCGCTTCACCCGGACGTTGACCTGCCTTCCTGAGGAGCGCAGTGTCTGTCCGTCCCCTGGTGACTCCCCGGAGCTCCTCTTCTTGGCTCTCCGTGCACCAGAAGCATTACCGGGATAGTCTTAACACCAATGACAACAATATAATAGTGACTGTGTAGTGCAGCTCGGGCCTCTATTAACGTCGACAAAATATTTATGACATAGAACACGTGTGCAAAAAACATAGAATTCACTCAGGTTATAAATAGCTGAAAAAAGCGACCGAAACACGAGGCCAATTGGTATGTAAACATAGCAAAGACGCGCACATTAGCCAGCTCTTTAAATCTGCCCAACAACGTCAGCTGTCACTTTAGCACCTAGCAAGCAGCAGCGGCGCCTCTTTAGCACTGACCTGCGTCCGACAGCATGGCTGCCCGCGGGGTTTCTTTCAAGCCCTCGACGTCCAAGTGAAATTCTGAGACGCCTTTTCGCTTTTAATCGTTGTTTTGTCTCTATTTTATTGTTGTGGGGACGAAAATCAATGCGCTGTCGTTTACCAGAATACCACTTCCGGTTTTGAAGAGGAAATGGGCGTGTCGCTCTGATTTTTGAACTCTGCCGCCCTCCGTACTGCCAGGGTAACCATAGCAACGGCAGTACGCTGTCAGACTGGCAACATAAACGGAGAGAAGAAGAGGAGAGGTGATTGTTAAAAAGCTACGTAAGTTCAGGCTGAGCATCGTTAGCACGTTTGTTCGAAAACAAAAACAGCAGGTATTAAAAAAGGAGAATGTTTAATTTTTTAAAATTTTAGCCTTTAAAAACTGAAGCTAGAAAGCGGTTCTAAATTTACAAATGGATTCGGGAAAAGTTGTGCACAGAAGAAAGCCGGGGATCCCTGTAATTGGTTTGAAAGCATCCCAGAAGAGCCACCGCCATCAGGAGGTGAGCAGTTTGGAAATGTCTCCACCGGGAAAGTAAATGACATTGTTAGAGTGTGATAACGCCTGATTTACAGGTATTTAAAGCATCAACAGCTGAACACAATAGTGTTGCTGTTAAATTGTTTCTAACTTTTCTGAGCATTTCAGAAATTGCAAATTATATCCCAGCCTAAACTATAACCTAAATTCCTCTCCAGGTTAATGCTAAAAGTCTCGATCTCAGTAAGGTGATTTGTCTTCTTGAAGATCCTTTGACAGTAAGTTAAAAACCTGAATGCCAGTCCTCTTTTTTCTGCTATTGTATTACACATATAGTGCATTTAATCCCCCTATTTTTACTAAAGACTAACTTGAAGGAAAGGCACCTTTTTGTTCTGAAGAAACTACTGAAGAAAAGCCAAATTGGCTTTGTATCCTTTCGTTTTTTTTCTCATATTGTAGACTGTCTTTCTAAGAAATCCCTCTCATGCGTCACACAGCGCAGCAGATTGTCAAATTTTCCTCATTATGGTCCCCTGCTGCAGTGATGGAAATAGATCTGCTCTCATACCATGTAAACACAAAACCAAACATTGGTCCCAAGGCTCTAATTTATCACAGCATCACTCTTTCTGTCAGCATTTTCTGTGTTCAGAAATAGGCTCAGTTATCACAATGACCCATCACCTCCCCTCCCTTATCGGGATTTAGCTCTGCATGAGTGAACAATCTGCCAAAAACTTCTTTAACTGTCTGAAGCTTTTAAAAGAACTAACAGCCATCGCAAAAATACTCAACATCTGCGCAGAGAAGGTGACAGATCACCCCGAATATGTGTCCATTCTGTGTGAAGCTCTTACAATTTGTAGGTAAGAAACCCTTTCAAGCAAACAGCTCATATTTTATCTCACAAGATGATCTGATCATCAGAGTGCTGCTGTCTTTCGTCTCAGGCTTCCCTTTCTGAAGGAGAAGACATCTGACGAGCTGCACTACGCTCAGGATGTCACAGAGTTTCTCTCTCATATGGGTAATAAAGGGCTCGCAGATTGGCCAGTCACTGCTGCTTTAAATACATTTATATACAGGTGCAAATTATGTTGTTGGGTTTTTTTTTTAAAACAAAAAGACAGAAAGTAACATTATTTAATCGTAGAGTGTTAAAAATTCAAAACAGGAACAAAATTGTGAAACATTTCATAATTCCAGCTTCTAATTTTGAAACATTTTTATTATTTTAGTTGGTTTTTAATGGTCTTGTTTGCAATACATGATCACATTTTTACAAACCTAATGATCGAAAGATTTCTGCTGTGGCATGTTAACCTTACATGCTGCATGACAGTCAAAACAAGCTAGCTCCCTCTAAAGATGTGAATTTTTAAAAAACAACTCAGAAATATAGATTATTAAATTTTAAGAAATGTTTAATCATTTGAAGTTTTTGTTCTTCAGATGAGAATGACGACATGGAGCGCTTCTGAGTTGTGTTTCTCTTGGCAGGGTGTCTGATGAGAGTGTCTGATGCCGAAGTGAGGCAGCTCATATTTGAATGCGTGAAATCATTCTACAGCTCTGTGGCTCCCAAACAGATGCTCGATGGTACGGATGGTACCACACGAAAGCCTCGGACTTTCCCTTCTAACAACCGATTTTCTAGACTTTCACTAAGTGAGGCTCTGTCATGGCGTCTGTGGTGGCATGCTTGTGCTTTTCGTTGTCCTTTGTGTTTCTTCTCTTTTCTTTTCATTTGTTTTCTTCATGTTTTCTTTATTAGAATTGGTTAGATTTCATATAGATATGTACATGAGCTTACAGCCGTACCCAGTGTCCTATGAGGCTGTTCAGGATTAAGAGATAAAGTTTTTGAACACATGATAGCACAAGTTGAATAGATCATAAAATCTGTCAAATATGAGGCTGAAATAAGGATTGGTAAGTTATTTTTCAGATAATTTAAAAGAGTGTTTTGGGTAGACTTTCAAGAGGCATATCGCCAGTGTGAAGTAGGTGGCTGGTCAGTACAAGGGCTCATTTTTACTTATATATTTTGTTGTTAGTTTAGTCTTTATTAAAGTAATTGACCATCATTTGTTCCAGAAACTCATGTTTAGTGAGACTCTAATTTTTATTTTCATCTGAATCTAATTTGTGGGGGGGTTTTTTCTGACCGTGGCATGACTTTTTTTTAATGTTGATTCCTCTTTAGTTATTAGTGTAATTGTCTTGTTCCTTAAAGTGGACATAATGTGTTTTTCCTTAATTTCTGTTTTATGCACGCTTTTAGAATTTTTAATGATTATTTTTAACATTTCAAAAGTTTTGGGTAATGAGGAGATTAATTAATTAATCCATGTTTGACAAAAGCCTTTTTTTCATCTCCTGGCTCTGTAAAGGCTGATAACTCTAATATGTTCATCTAAGTTGCACAACTCTGCATATAAGCATAGAAGCACCACCTGCTTCTGTTTGTGAGGGTCAGCCAATCAGGATGAGGTTGGGGTAAGAGGAAAAGGGCTAAAATGACTTGTTTTAAACAGAAGCTGATGTGAGGGATTGCGCTATGGCTAAAATCACCTTAATAAATCCACTTTAAATGGCTTATAATGATCTCTTAGCTTGTTTCTTCCCTGATGTTGAACCTGGCATTTAAACATTTATAGTTGTATTTAATAATGTTTCTGCTCTGTTTCCTCAGGCCTCCAGCCGACCTCTCCAGGCTACAGGCTGCAGCTGCTGGAGCGCAGTGAGCTGGCTCAGACACTTCTCCTCTCCATGGCCACTCTCGAAAACCAGCCCACCATCAAACTGCAACTCCTTCACATCCTTCAGATCCTCTCCAGCTGCTCTGGTCAGTCATTTATTTCAATGCAGAGCCAGTGAGGGAGGGAAGGGGAGGAGCAGATGACCTCCTTCATTGGAGAACGTAGCCAGCTCTCAAGAACATAAATCAGACTTTCGGACAATGATGATTTTAAGTGTCCTTAAAATAACTGGGTTATTTACTGGGTTACACACGTCTATGTTTCACTTTACAACCACAGATATGAACTGTTCTTCAATACTCCACGCACGAGGAGCAGAGACGGTATGTCTCCACATGAACGACCACGATCCGACCGGCCAGGTCCTGTTCCGTTCTTCCGAAATCCTCTGGAACCTGCTGGAGAGGGGCAACAAGGAGGTGGTCACCGCTCAGCTCGGCACCCTGGAGTGTGTCCTGTACGCATGTCCTCCTCATTTAAGATGCTTTTAAATGTACACGATGTGCCTGATGGATGTAGAATCTTTTAAATGAGGCAGCATAAGGGAAATTTCCTTGGAGTTTACTTCACAAAAATTTCAAGATTTTAAGTACAATGTTTTTCTAATCTATTAAATGCCTTGAACAATCAACACACCTTTAAAAGACTAGGGAAGAAATACAGAACTACAATGAAATAAACATAACAAATACATCATTCTTTTGTTGTGTGTAATGATTTTACATAATTGAAATGCCTGCAGCTCTGATTTTAGCCAAACCATCATTTTTAATGGAAAAGTTTAATTATTTGTAATTCGTCTGATTTCTGTTGGTTGTGTGTTCCTTATGTGGCAGGCCTTTGTGCTGTCATTTATCCTTTGATAGCTGACTTTTGGCTTTATTTGTTCCTCAGCTCTCTGAAAGAAGCATTTTTTCACCTGCTGAACACCGGCTCTGGACATTCAGACCTCCAACTCAGAAACGATCTGCTCGTGATCACAACTCTCATTGCAGAAAGTCCAGGCTCACAGCTTATTGTGAGTACAGGACAGTTTAATAAATAGTCATTTTTTACTTTTTTTCACCCACCGGGTGTTTTTATGAATTTTTTAAATAATTTGAGGTGTTTCTTATTTTCAGGAGAGTTCATTTGCCAAACAGCTTGTGGTTTTCAGCACATTTCCAGAGCGTGAGGGCACTCGATCCTTTAAATGTTACACACTTTTTTACAAATGACTTCATTATTCATGAATACAGTAGCATCTTTTATGAAAATAAAACTGCTTATTTTATTTATGTTTTAGTGAAAAGTCACAACCCTTTGATCCGCAACCTGAAGCTCAGCTATAGTAACGAAGACTTGAAAATGAAGAAGTTGCTGCTGAATCTGCTGGTTGTTATGTCGAGGGACTTGGCTGCCCTACAGGTCAGTCACACGCTCACCCAGTTATTGTTTAAGTTTGGATAACCTGTGTGATGACTCAGTTTTCCTCTCTCAGCTTTATAAAGAAGAACATGTTGTTCTGGCTCTGCTGGCGCTCATGAAGCCGCCTGTCGCCTCCTTGTCTGAGTGTCAGTCGGGGTCACGACACTGGTCCGCTGCGCAAAAGGAGGAGCTCCAGCTGCAGGCGCTGGCCACCCTCGCCACCATCGGGCCGCTCATGTTGGAGGAGTACATTTCCTGTGAGGGGAGTACCTGTCTGCTACTCCTGCTGGACTGGTGTGTTGGGCCAGGTTAGGAAACACAAGAAAAACAAGACCAAGCAGAATCTGTACTGTATCTGAAAGGTTAAAGGTCAAGGGAATTGCAGTGTCCTATCAGAGTGTATTTGAGCCAAACACAAAGTCACTTATACACTCACTTTTTGTCATTACCATGATTTGCTACGCAACAGACATTTAAACAGCTTTTATCTCTTACACTTTATCATACTCTTCTTTTGTCTCTTAAAGGTTATTTTTTAATGCAACTGATAGTTTAACTAGTTTCACAGCTTACAAAATACCTCATAATCACACCCCCAAATCTAACCAAAAATAGCTCTTAAATAATACACATTTCAACTCCTCTCACATGCTTTTGACTTTTAATGAAGTATGTAATCCATGTAATACACACCTCATTAAATAAAGTCCAATGAAACATTTTCATTTGAATTTTTAATCAGGTTTTCTTTATCTGTATTTAGGAAATGGGTAAAACACTTGTTATATTTTAGATAATATCTATGCAGAAATATTCAAAGGAGCTTGCAAAGAAAATATATGCAGAAATATACAAAATCTTAAAGGGTTCGCAAACTTTTTCGCAAACTGAACAATCAGTCAGTAACTATATTCTCTCCTTTATTTCAGATTCTTACCTTGGCCAGGGTCACAGCTTCCACGCCACCGGAGGCAGAGGCGGTAAGAAGGCACAGACGCGGCACTGTATCAGAGTGCTGAGATCGGTGACTTCTCTGGGTGAAGAGTCTGTAAACCAGGACCTCTGTGATCAGGGAATCATCAACCAGCTTCTGGGTGACTGGACTGGACACATGACACATGTTCAATATCAACATTTACTGTTGATGAATTCAGTAGAGTCAAAGCTGTCGTGTTTCCTCAGGGATTCTCATGCAGATAGACGCGGGTCCTGATGAAGATGATGTCGTCGCTCTGGAGATAAAGTCGGATATTCAGGTGATCCTTTCAACGCTGTGTGAGACCGACATGCACAGAAAGGTAAAGCTCATATTGCTAACTTAATAAAAGGGCTTAGAACTGGCTAGTTGGATATCTGGTGAGTCTGTGTTTGTTTGCTGCCTGTTCTGTTTCATAGGAACTGTTTGGCTCAGAGGGAGTTGAGATGGCGGTTCATTTTCTGAAAAAAGGCTCCGACAAGTTTTACAGCGGCCTCGGACACAACAAGCTCGTGCTCTCCACAGTGGACTGTGTGTGGTCAGTGAACTGCAGCACACTTTAATAGATTAACTGCTGTATTTATTCATATTTGTACAGTCATTTACATTTGCCAGATCCAGGCTAGAGTAATATGAGAAACCAGAAGTGTAACTCTGTTAGCCAGATGTATGATGATGTCTTTGTTAGGCATAATTTAATTGTTTAATATAGTTTCTGTATTGGAGCAGATGAAAAACTCACTTCGATTTAATGGCATAACTGCCTTAGCGGACAAATGGGACTTGCTCAGTTTATATAATATGAATGCAGTTCAGCTCAGAGGCATTTAGCCTCTTAAATCTGGGGCCTTTTGCTGATAAGTATTTTATTTTCAATTTTATTTTCGTTTTTCTGAAGGTTTATGCAGTAAACTAGTCATAATGAACATTAATCAGTACGACTTACAGTCAGCTTGGGAGTGGCTGCAATCACGGCACTGTAAGAAGGTGACAGATGTACTATGGTTGTTCGCCTTCCTTGACTCCTCGCTCTAACCAGTGTTGCTCCCTGCCCAGGATGTGCACTTCCTCATAATTGAAAGATTGGCCACTGGCCTGCAGGTTCAATAGACTGCAGAGTCCCACCCCAAGGAAGCAGGTCTTCTGTGTGTTTAGCGAGAGGTTGTTTGGTTTCCCTGATGCATGATAAACAGCAGTCCTCCTGGCACTTAATGATGTACACTATATTATTCTGTTTACTCCGAGAGACCTGGGGTCCTTGGAGTGGACCATTTTTTGGCGAAAGTGATAGAAATGCTGTGTTTTTCAAAAAGCCTGTCTCAGCTGTTCACATAAGGCAGGGGTATCCAACTCCAGGCCTTAAGGGCCGGTTTTAGATATCACTCTGGGTTAACACACCTGAATCAAATGATTATTTCATTACCAGGCCTCTGGAGAACTTCAAGACATGTTGAGGAGGTAATTTTATCATTTAAATCAGCTGTGTTGGATCAAACACATCTAAAACCTGCAGGACACCGGCCCTTGAGGCCTGGAGTTGGACACCCCTGACATGAGGGATCATCAACAGTTTTTATGCAGGCAGTGATTAACCTTCTGGATCCTGGACGATCCTGGAGGGGGGGGGACTGTGCTCTGAGGAGATGGTGCTGTAGCGTTCTAATAATATCCAATTTGTGCTCCAGAGACTGGTGAGAGTTATACCTTAAATACTGGGCTGTAAGCATTGGTTTATGGTACACATAAACTTTCAAAAGTTTCCCTATTACTCACAGTAATTTGTCCTTTGCCTGTCCTATTTCATATCCTCCCTGGTGAACTCGATGTGTTTGTCCACAGAACGTGAGTGAATTGTGGTCCATATGAACAGAATCAACTTTCTGGGAAACATTATTTGCTACTTTCTACAATATTACCTACATTTAATCATAGTTTTATCCATAGGCTATAGTGTAGTAACAGATATGACCATCAGCAGAGGGTCAGTGAACTTTAACCTAATCTGGAGAAATATTTGATGTCTAACATTAGAAATAAAAGTACAGAATCTCAAGATCTGTTATAATGACCTCGAGTTCAGGTCATCATAACACTTGTTATACGGGTCTGAACTTGATTTTTCAGTTCTGTTATGGACTGCGAGCAGCTCAACAAGCACATTTTTTTGTTGCAATTACAAGCCAAATATCAGGGGTCTATTTTTTGTCTCCTACAGCTGAGAAAGTTTCTGTCTGTGCGCCTTTTCTCCCATCAGGTCGTGTGTCGTAGGCTGCTACACCACAGAAGATTACTTTCTGGTTAAAGACGGGGTGTTTCTTCTCCTCAACTTACTCAGTGTGAGTAAAAGTTTCCTGAATTTACTGTCGAGGCTTTAAAAGTTTCCTTTTTTCATCCTGTATTTTGTGATTAAAAATAGGATTTCAGCTGCTCTGTGTTAAAGCTAGTTCATGCAAGGCAGCGTTCACAGGTAATATAAACATCCTTTTCTCCTGCAGACAAGCCCCAGGTGTGTGCACGGTGTCGTCCTCGCCACCCTGCTAGAGTTATGTGACAACCCGAACACGGTGCCGTACATTCTGACGTGGAGGGACGGCAACGGACAGACGGCTCCGAGACTCCTGCTGCAGCTGTGGAGAGAGGAAGAGGAGGAGCTAGGAGTTCCTCGAAATCAACATGGAAGCATCGCAGGTCGGTCTGCGATGCTTCCATGTTGATTCAGATCATCGCACTGAGAACAGATTTCACCTTTTTCTTTCAATTAGATATCAAATTGAAATAAAGAACTTTATGTTTTTTAGATTTCTGCTGCACTAACAGGTAAATGTTTCTACTAAACTGCTGATGCAATTTTTTTTTTTTTTTAAAAAGTATCCTGTTAGTCTGTAATGTTGTTTTGGGGTCTTTTACGGGCGCCTCTGCTTTGTCCTCCACTGTCTGTGTTGGACTTCAACACACACAGCATTATTTCTTTTCCCAACCTGGATTTTGTAAACATCTGATTTTTATCTGACATTTTTATGTAACGATAACGTTCTGTACCACTGAGCCAACCAGATGCAGGGAATGGTTAAATAGAACTGGAAACAATGTAAATGAAAATACTTTTTTTGTATGTTTTTGCATAGCTGATGGATTTTGTTTTTTCATCTCTCCGTCTCAGACAGAAGGTTTTAAAAGTTTTACATTTTGCCAGCAGGTAAAAATCTGATTTTAGGCCCTTTTGTAATCTCATATATTTCTCTTTGTTATTTCTTTTATCTTGAAGATCCTCAGAGGCCCATCCACAGTCTTTTCCAGCTGGATGAAGCTCAGCTTTCATTTCCTGCTAACGTGCCGAGTGCTGCAGTATTGGAGATGTCAGAGAACCTGCGATCGAAGATTTACTCCGTCTTCTGCAAAATTGGTAACCAAACAAATTATTCAGTTTCATACTAAATGTAAAGTATTTATTAAGAAGATTTTGTAATTAGATTATTTGATTAGCCCAATTTCTTTGTAGCTCCTCCTATAGGCCAGTTATACATATTTATTTATTTAGTATTTATTTTTATTAATAAAAAAATACCATTAAAACAAAATCCAGAAGGTTGTAAAACAAAAGGCTATTTTTACATGTTGCTTTGTGTAGCCTTTCAAATCATATTCAGTCTCAATTTGGCTTTTTTAAATGAAATTTATCACTTATTGATTGAAGATATTTTGAAGTTTTGAAATATCAGAGTAATAAAATGATATCATGATGTTCTGTTCAAAACATTCAGTTGTTGGGCACAGCTAATATTGTTATATTAAAAAGCAATCAGGAGTATTTGTGACTTTTTCTTTTTCAGGGTTTCAGGATCTTCCTGGATTGTTGGGAAAAGATTATGTGACTCTGACCATCATCAGGAGATATCTAGACTTTAAGGTAAAAGTGAAGAGAAAATACTGTTGATGCTTCATATAATAGTTGCTCAGACTTACAATCTGTTCAAAGTTTGTTCAAACCTGAAATTAATATGAAGCTTTAGCTGTGAGTAGAGTAGAGATATTCAAAGTGAAAGTACAAAAGTCCTCGTTCAACAAAATACAGAGAGCGAGAACTCTGAGGGACCAACTTATTTTGTCTGACTGTGGCTGAACCAGCAGCTTAAGTTTTGGATACTCAGGCAGTGAAAGTCTGTCAGGAAAACAATCTATAAATAACCGTTAGTCACAGGGAGTAAAGACTTAAAGGAGTCTGGAGCTCTCTTAAAGGTTTCAGATGCAGAGGACATAAACCGAGATAAACATCAACATGTCTGTCTCTTGTGGTGCTGCAGGTCGGTGAGGTGTGGGATGAGATCAGCCGGGAACTGAGTCTGGAAGGCGTGAGGCCGATCAGCCCTGACCAGGAGGCTCTGAGCACCATCTGCAAGATCGCAGAGGACACGGCGAAGAGGATCGTGGAGGAACAAAACAGCATCCTGGAGCACCATCAGAAGGAGGACATCAGAGAAGAGAAACTCACATACACAGAGGTACGGAGTAAAGGAGTGGAAATAGCTTACATGAAAGTCACTTAAAATGTTTTTCTTTAACAAAAAACCCCAAAAAGACAAATTATATTACACAGATTGTTTTTTTTTTTTTCTTCCTGAGCTACTATACAAATAATCAGATTAATTTTCACATGCATAATCAAACAAATTCACTCTTTTTTTCTTTTTTTTCTTTTGTTGTATGTCTAGTAAAACGTTTTCATTGTATGTTTGACTAGAAGCAGAGATCATCTGGGACAATTTGTTTTGGTTGGAGGAGATCAGGCTTTTGCTGTGACTGCTCCGAAACTGCCTTTACATATCAGGACCTCTCCAACACTGGATACATTTAAAACTCAAATTCAAATTTTATTTGTCACGTACACAGTCATACACAGTACGATATGTAGTGAAATGCTTGGACAACTGCTCGTGACCTAAAGAAAACAAAAAAGGAAAAGGCTATGAATAAGATAGGAAATAAATATGAAAAATTAAAAAGGGTAAATTTAACTAGGAAGGAATAAAATATAAATTAAGGTTAAAAATGAAATAACTGTACAACACAAATTAGAATGAAGGGTAAATTTAACTGGGAAGAATAAGATAAAATATATAAATTAAAGTTGAAAATAAAATAACTGTACAACAAAATACACAATATAGAACTATATAAGAATGTATGAAGAAATCTAAATATAAATAAATATATACACAATAACAGCAGCTGTACAAGTATTAACTGGAAATGAAGAATATAGTGCCAGTTTTAAAGCAATCCACATTATGTCTTAATTCTGTATGAATCTGTCATTATTTTATTCTTATTATTTTCTTATCTTTTATTTTACTTTCCTTTTAAATTTTATCTGATTATTTTATCGTACAGTTCTTTGGTCAACAGTTGTTGTTTTTAAAAGTGCTATATAAATAAAATTGATTTGATATAAAATGAATTCTGACTTTTTTCTGTCTTTATCGCAGATTGAAAGACGAACAAAAGGAGTTCATGGCGAAGTCATGGGAGGGTTATGTTTCCAGGACTTCAAACTATGAAGCCCTGAAGGTTTAAAGATTTTTAACTATAAATTCTATCCTAATAATAATAATAATAATAATAATAATAATAATAATAATAACAATAATAATATCTAGATTCTCAGTATAAGTAGTAAGTGTATATTTTTGTTATGGGCTTTGTATACAGGAAGTAAAAGCACAGAGGGAGAAGTACGCCGAATCATCCAGACCTAAACCAAAGCACGAGGACGCTGCTATCCGCCCTGCTGAGGTCTTTACACTTAACCTTTCATGACTTTTACAGGTCACCCGCTTAATTGATTAAAATACTTAAATCTCATATCTTATTTTCACAAAATGGAGCAAAGAAAAAAGTCTGTTTCAGGTATAGCTCATTTTCTGGTTCTGAGAATGAGCATTTTTAATGCATGTAATGAATTTCAGCTTAATTTGGAGTTTGTGGCTTAGAAAGCATCTCTGAAATGAGTTTTAATAGTAGATAAATCCTGACATTCAGGGGCCCAATAACATAAATGAAGAAGATGAATGAAAATGTATAAGATGAGATTAGACGTACTTTATTATTGCCAAACTTGGGAAAGTCCTTTGTTACATTAGTTAAACTAAAGTTAAATGGAGCAAACTAATAAATAGCCTTTCTAATAACTTCAGTATATCTTAACTCTGCACTAATAATGCACAAAGCAGGGGGTAAGAACAAATGGTGGTGAGGAATTGGTGTAGTTATTATGCAAACTTTTAATATTTTAAGGTGATAACCAAATATAAATCTGAAGTTTTGGAATATGCTCTGTAAAGAGTTGTTAGATACAAAAAAGTTTCTTTATCTTTAATTCAGTTCTTTTCCTGTTATTTGTGAACAATGATCAAAATTTTAAAAATTGAGGAGCAACTCGCTGTAGTCTTGACGTTCTGTTTCGGTGTGTTTCAGCATTTCATCGGACACGTCGTTGGAGTGGAGAGCACGGACGCTCAGGGTCCAGCAGGAGTGAAGGTGACGCTGGTCAGAACGCCGGTCAGAGCCCCAAGTCAGGACAAAGGAGAACCAACAATACCAAACCCAGACTACTTCAGCACGGCGTCTTCTGCAGACTGACGTTACCGAAGTCACTCTTAATACAAGGCATTCACATTGTCATGTCACAGCATTTATTGTGCTGTATGCTCATAAAATTAAACTGCATTAATGTAAAGACTGCATTAAGGTGTTTTACAGGACTTGTCAAGATACATGAGTAGAGCAGAGGGGTCAGAAAGTTCATTACAACTTAAAGTGAACTTTAATAGTTTAAAGCAGTCCAAAATAACTGAGTCCAATCGGCAAGAAGATACATACGTTTTGTTTTTGTTTTTAAACGGGGGGGAAAAAGGGCAGTGAAGGAGTGACTCAGTGCAAACAACCCACACTAAAAAAATTATATTATAATACTCAAAAATGCAGACTTTAAGTAAGTTAATTATGCAAGTTTTTTGTAATTTTGTTACAAAGTGAAATGTTAAACATTAAACTTAATGGTTAAATGAAATTTACTTAATTGGTGGGCATTCAGTTTATACCAAGCATGTTTACCTTATTGATTAATAATTTGAATAATTTGCATTTTACTCACAGTTATTGCTTCATATTTATGAGGACAAGTACTATTGTTTTGAGTGCAAGGTGTAATTCTAGACAGAGTGATGATTAGGGATTAGACACAGGTGGAGACTCAAAACTCCAGAGCAAAACAGAAGGAAAATGAAGAGAAAACAACCTAAAGGTATGGAAGTTTGTATCCACCATCTAAAAAACACAATTTGGGGTTGTTAACTTAAAAAGAAAATAGCTTAAAATTGTACCTTTGCTCTGCCTGGCAAAATGTTTTTTTCTTTTTCTGTTGCAGAAACAAGCTTGCATAAAAAAAGACACGTACTAAACACAGAGACAAGAAAACTCACATTAAACATGAACCCAACAGCATTAACACAGAGACGAGAACAGATTGGGACAATCTAAACTCAAAATAGGAACCGAAGCAAAGTACAGACCAAGATCTAAAAACTAAGGCTAGAACAAGAAAACCAACTTGTCAGGAAGAGAAAACAAGAAAGATAAAAGAAAAATAATTCAAGAAAGCTGCTTATAGTGTTTACATTTCTGGTTCCTGTGGCTCTAGAGGGATGCAGCAGATGCAGACGTGAGGTCACTCCATGTGTACAATCAACATCTTGTAGTCTAGCCCACCACCCCAGCCCTTTATACAGGCACACACACACACAGTCTCTGTCCTTTCAGACAATGTTACACTGGCTTACTTTAATTTCCTGAAGACTTATCTGAGCCATAACCAGACTATTATATTTTTATTTATTTACATATTTTTCAAGTCCTCTCAGTGTGACTGTGAGAAGCAGTAACTTGGCTTTCCTTTGGAGCTAACATGACTTATTTCGGTGCACAGAGCATTCATATACAACCTGTTTTAAATTCAAATTGTTTTGTTTTTTTCAAATAATTATGGTTTTTGCATCAAAACTAATAAAAAAGGAATTAGATTTATTAACAATAATCTTTAAATCGTTAAAAATAAAATTCTAATGTTTTGGTATGTTTTCATCCTGCATTTATGTAACCACTCCTGCACCACGAACAAAGAGAGCCTGAACAATCAATGTGGCCTCATAGACTCCGCTGCATTATGTAACATCACTTTACCTTCAAACATAATAAGCCCACAGTGTAATTACATCCACTCGAGGTTAAAGCTCTCATTAAATGCTGCAGTTTTTTTGGCTGTAAAAATTAAACTTTTTACTGCTGGGTTGTTAAAAAGTATTTTCTCTTTTATGGGTTACATAAGTGACTGCAGTGCATTAACACACATGTTCCTTCAAGCGTGCAACATGCTGCACAGAGCGACCTCTTCTTCTTCTCCTCCTCTCTCCGCTCTCACCCGTTTCACTGGCTGGATGGCCAAATCACCCCTGACAGGCCGGAGCTTTCATGCGGCGCTGCGAGTGTTTGTGTGGCACACTGTACAAAAGAGCAGGGACACACAGGACCCTCTTCAGCACGTCAGGCTGCCCCCTGTTTGCTCAGACTGCCGAGGGGCTTCACGGGGCCGGAGGTCCGTCTGCCGTCGATGAAGGCACGTCTGGATCCCAACTGGATGCTCATCAACTCCACGAGGACCTCCTAACTTCAAACTGTGAGGCTGATTTGTTTTACCTGAAGGCTGATGACGCTGTGGAGACACCAACAATAAATGGCTTATAACACATTATAATGAAGCTGTTAAAGTGATAAAGTAAAAGTTTATATAATTACAGCTTTTACTGTCATCAGTTAGCTTCTGCTTAAGGCAAATACGTCCAAAAACATTTTAAAATGTGTTATAAACTATTTATTAAAGGGTCACACAGTGTAAGCCTTAGAAATACTAAACAAGAAGACTTAAAATAAGGTATTGATATTAATAAAAAATTAATATCCTCAAACATTTCCTTGCTTTAGTGGCTTTGAAACTGAGATGTGACAAAACATATGTCAGGCTGTGATATCAGTTTGAATTACCTCAATATGACTAAACTAGTTGGGTTAAAGACAGTTTTATGTTGTCTGCGACATATTAGGTTTGTTACAATGAATAGCTCGAAATAAAATTTAAAAGTGTTCATTTCTCCACAGAGATTTACTTCTCTTGAGTATGGTTTAAATATGTATCTATTAAAAACATCCTCAAATAAACCAGGCAGTTCAAAGTGAGGCAGAAATCTGTTTTTAAAGTCACTGATTTCCATCAAGAAGATTAAGTTCTCCTTGAGATAAATCGGAGGGTGTCACAGCAGGATAAATGAGATGTGGAAGAAAAATGTGTCTTTTCCCTTTATTTTTCTGTAAAATGCATCTAATTATATCTTTTTGGGCTTTTCCCGTCAAACAGTGAAGGCATCCAAAATAACCATAATATATTCAGCCAGTTTGCCAGACACTGAGTGAGCCTAGTCCTAAATTAAAAGAAAATTTCACTGAAGAGCTCCTCTGAAAAATGTTTTAAATCTAAGTCCATGTCTGGGAAACTGAGCCATACTGTCTGCATAAATCTCATCTAACAATGCTCACTTAATGAAAACAGTAAGAGGGATGGGAGTTTTCCTCTCCTGCAGGAAGCTCCTCTACCGTCTGAGAAACGGAGGCAGCAGGAATGATGATCAGACTGGGAAGACTGACACCGGGATACTTCCGCCTCCTCCAGGTTTGTGACTCTAAATTCCTGATTACATCCATGTTTCGTCATTAAGTGGTTCTTCATCAGTAAATGTGTGTACACAGAAAAGTCTTCTAGCTGTCGTTATCATAAAGCAAATCTGAGTCTGAATGAATAATTTATGGTTTCTATACATTTTTAATAGCGATACTTTAGACTATGACAAACAGCAGCAGTGTACAGGATGTTCAGAAAGCTCCATCTCTGGAGGGTTTATGTTATATAAGCTGTTCAGACTCCAGCAAAAGAAAAATAACTGATGCTGTCGTCCTGCTCAGTTCTCGAAAGTACCAAAAATGGTGGTGAGGTAGGTGAGTAGATTTAATGTTTACCTTCATAAAAAATGAGTGACTTCTTCTTTAGCCTTTACTTTATATCAATTTGATCTTTAATCGCTCACAGATCAAAGACACATCAGTGGTTTTAGGAAAACTTTTCCCCTCCATTGGCCCATCGGGCGATTAAATCACACTTTTTGTGTCTAATTTAATTCCTTCATATACTGTTAATTTAAGCTATATTAAAGTAGTTGAAAAAAACTGCAGTGAAGCAGGTTGTGTCTGGTGGTAAGGAGGTAGGTCTGTCACGCCTAGAGGGTGGAGTTATGCAGACTCCTGGGCGTGTCCAACAGATGCACAGATGACAGGTTATGATGTTTGCTACTGTAGTGAAGTTGGAAAGGGTTTAAAACTTGTTACTTTAACAATGATTAGATTTTATTAATCCACTCTGAAAATAAAAAAAATGGAAAACTAACTGAAGACATGCAGAAGAGACAGTGTGGCAAAGGACTGCGGGGTGAGACGGCGCTGTGTATACACAGAAATGCAATCGGGGATGTGAACACAGCAGTGAAAAAAAAGAAGTAGGTGCAGACAATCAGCACAATCACAGGGGAGGACGTAAAATTTATTACAAGTCACGGAAGATGACTTATAAAGTAGAACAGGAAGTAAGCAATCATAACCAAATAGTGAAACACAAACGTAAACTTAACATGGGGAAAAAATCTGAGCAAACTAATAAAATCTGATATATACAGTAACTCGAAGAAAGACCTCAAGACTGAAAAGACTAAAGAAATACAGAATGACAATGTAAAGAAAAAAACTAAGACCCAGTTAGAGGGTATTTATTAATAATAAACGAGAAATAGTGCTGGTCCACGGGGAGATGGAGTCGGTTATGGAGGGTGTGTGAGGACTGATTCGATATCACGATTTGGTCATTTGTGTTGGTTATTTTTACATTAGTGAAATGTTACCAGGAAAATAAAGGGATCAAGATTCATTTGTGTTCTTTATGCCCACACATTTTTATTACCGTTATTAGTGCTGTTTTGTCAAAGCAAGCATTTGTGCCCTGACACACATTGATGAGACGAATCCGTCACTTCCAACTCCTCATCATCAGTGGTAAAAGGGTTAATTTTACCCCAAACCACGACCTTTCCTAAACCCAACTAGAGAAGTTATATATGTAAGCATCACATTTATCGTCCCGGTTATCAGTCTCATTTAAGGTGTGGAAATTAAGGCACTTTCTGGGGACTTTCCTTTGTTTTATTGAATTTAACTTTATTGGACAGCGTGAACATTTAAAGCTGTCATCAGCCAGATGAATTATTACCCAAGTGGAGCATTCACTGAAAGCTTTAGTGTCTCACTATAGCAGTCCCTAGGTGACTGAAAGGAAAACACTCAGTGAGGAGTAAGAATATTTTAACAGCCTTTCTTCACCTGTGTGTCCACCTCGTCCACAGAGGCAGATGTCGGGTGAGGTCCAGATTCAGCCGCAGAGCAGCCTCATCGATCCTATCGCCATGACGATGGCCGCGGTGGGGATGGGAGTGTCTCTGTACAGCGCCAGGCGGATGTCAGAGAGAGTCCAGCTGAAGCGGCCAAACGCCTGAGAGATCTCACCTGTTCACCGGTTCAGTTTCTGCGGTTCATGCGACATGTGTTTGTGAACGTCAGAGAAAGTCAGCGGAGGAGGAGTGTGTTTATGTGTGTGGGTGTGTCTGTGTGGTGCTAGAAGGAAAATCTAAGTGTCCCCGAAGGAAAATGTGAGTCGGTCATCAGCATGTCGCATGTGTGAAGCTGTAGTTTGATAACCCTACGTGTTGTGTGCAGGATGTCTTTAAAAGGAGTGCATATTAAATCAGAGATTTGTACTTTAATTCAGTTAATCATCAATTAACAAACAGCATTAGAGTTTAGTTTTAATTTAAAAATGTGTATAATACAGATGTAATTCAATTCAATTTTATTTATATAGAACCAAATCACAACAAGTCGCCTCAAGGTGCTTTTTATTGTCAGCTAAAAATCCTACAATAATACAAGGAAAACAGAGAAAAGCCCAACAATGATTAGACCCCCTATGAACAAGTGCTTTGGTGACAGTGGGAAGGAAAAACTCCTTTTTAACAGGAAGAAACATCCAGCAAAACTAATGTAAGTTGAAAATCTTACAAAGTTATTTTATTCATTAATATTAGTCACAAACACACCTTTCCAGGCATTTCTGTTAGTTTTTATATAAATTATTAAGCAGCATCACATCTGAGTATTTCTTCACTAATCACACTAAGCATCTTCGAAGCATCTTCGAACGACTTACTGAAGAAGATGTCTGTAAATGTAAGATGCTAACTCAGAGATATCTACACTTCTTTGTGCATCTAATAAAAATGTTCACATTTTCTGAGCTCTGTGTGCAGACTAATGTTTTCAAACAGCAGACTGCAGTCCATTCAGGTGCTTCTCGGCTCAAGGACAACAAGCCTTTAAAGCACCATTCTGTCCTGTAAAAGCAGACAGGACGGACACATCAGTCAGAATGTTTTCAAAGCGCTCTCTGGTTCTCAGGCTTCATCCATGTGGAAACGGTCTGAGGGGAAACGGATGCTGTCAGGCGACTGCACAGTCTGTATGGGGTGATTAATGTGACTGAAGCTCCAGCAGAGGAAGTGATTTTACTGCAAGGCGTGAATCGTGACATGAGTTTATTTTCAAATCGACTGATTCTTCGGTCTCACATGAGTTTGTCAAATGGTCCGGGATGTTGGGATGAACAGACTCCCTTTTCCGGTTCTCGCTTTGGGTCACGCTTTGAATCGGTTCTTTCCAATCAGGCCTGGGAGTGACTCAGAGCTGTAAAGGATGATACCCAGTAATAAATAGGGGAATTACAATATCACTGCTGATCTAGATGACCGAGCCCTCCTGTGGGTCACTGCATGGGACTTGTTTCTGTATCATATCAGCACATCTGCCTCCAGATGGACACCAAATAACACCCTGTCCTTTTCTGTGTCTCATTCCTGAACATAAAGACATACAAAACCATAAAATTGATGCTTCTAATATAGATCGAGATTATATTGAAAGAGCTTCTAGGAAATTTAGTTAGTGCCTGTTAACTGCATGGTGATCATGTTCATCTTAGAATTGACATTTCAACATCTCTGGTGTTCATAATTTTATTGTTTGACTTTCATTTGTGAGCACAGAGTGTAAATAAAAGTTGGATCTTTAGCCACCGAGGCTGTTTGTTTGTGAGGACAGAGTTGTGAACTGAGGAAGAGAAAACACAACTCTCGTGGTGTTAATCACAGAGCAGCTGTGCCCTGTTGTTTCCTTCTGATTGACTCTAATGGGACGACAAATTACAGAATGAACCACATGCTGTACTCAATAAGATAACTGAAGAGCAAACTGAGACCATGATCTCTTTATATTAACTGTGGTCATAAATCTTATGTTTGTTTGTGAGCAGGGCAAACGTCTGAGTCTGCAGACCCGCAGAATCTGAAATAATTAGGATGTGTAGGATGTGTAGCCTTCACTCAGATTAAAAGATTCCTGTTTATTTACCTGTTCCCTCACTGACTTTACCTTGCTCTTGTCCTCCTTTACTCATCGTTGATTCTCTCATCTTCTTATTTTGAGTTAGTTTAACTTTATTTAGTTTAACTTTATTGATCCTAAAATAAGTGGGAAATGTAATCACTTATATTAATAGTCATAATTAATAATCCAGGTCCTGAAAGGTGTACGTAAGATGTGCATACTAACAATTTCCCTGTGCTACATCTCTCTGAAACTACTC